CGAGAGATGTGTGACCTTTCTGATCATTGGGCTATCGAGTGGCCAATGAAATGCGCTTATTGGACCTGGAAGCAGACCCAGCACTACTTTAAGCTACAGAAGTACCAGATCCATGATTCAATTGTGGATGCGTGCTCCGTTGGCCTTCAGGGGTGCGATGGGCTCTTGGTTTCTAAGCGTTGGAGGGTTAGGGTTACACACGAGAGGGTCGCGACTCAGCTCTCTGCTTTGCGCTGTGACGGCTCTCACGAGCATTCTATGCGCTTTGTGCTTCGAGATACTCAGCACTACCCCGAACTTCTGTGTAGAAGGGTTTTGGAGAGCTTAGAGTGACTAAGTTCCTCTTCGCAGCCATTTCCACTCAAAATTTTCCTTTTAAGGGTTTGGTAGTCCCGCCGGAATGGACCACTACGGTCTCCAGGCTTTCAAGGATGCCATGGTTTCTCTTTCTTTCGTCGACTTGCAGAACGAAGCACCGCTTCTTGAGAGACTGCTTGTCTTGACTTTTGCCGCAGGGTTTGTGACAGGGTGCGTCTTCCTAGGGGTTGGTCGCTGTCTGTACGCCCGCTGTCTGGCAGAGCCAGAATGGCCAGTACTTTACTTGACTTCCAAAGGTGCTTGCTATCACGTGAAACGTGATTGTCCAAGCATTCGGCATACGACGCCGCTGACACGCAGGATCTGTCTTTTCTGCGCTCGGGAACCTTCGAGGCTTCAAGAGTCTACAAAGAAGGGTGACTGACCCGAACGCCCAGAGGGGGTGTAAACGTATATCCTCTGTTTGGGAGGATATGGTGGGCGTCCGGCTCATCTGTAGAAACCTGAACAGTTCTCGGCTAGTTTCCTGGCACTTGGAGTGTGAGGGACTCTTTTCGCTTTAAAGCCGTAGGTCCTGTAGGTTTTCCCTGTTTTCGGACGTTCTGAGGAGCTTTGGTAGTACCAGGTGCTTTTGGCCCATGGGAAGTTGTTTAGAGAGCTCCGAGCCATCTTTAGGTAGTTTGCACCTCGGTTTGCTGGAAGACTTTGTGCCGACTTGGCTCAAGACCGGAACTGCGTGTGGAGTGCAGCAAAACGAAGGTCTCTGTCCGAGTGTTGTGCTTGGTAAGGGGTTTTGCTGGGGCTTGTTGCAGTTTCGTTCTTTTTCGGCATCAGAGGCCATGTGGAACGATTGCATTTGCCTCTTTCGCAGATTTGGCTGGCTGGTCATTCAACGCCGTCTTTCAGATTGGATTCAGTGAAGGAAAGTTCCGAAGTTCAAGAGACAGTGAAGCTTGTCACCAAACTTTAAACTTGATCCGCGCAAACGCCACCATCCTGGGCTGTGTCAAGCAGACAGCAAGACACATTGCTACAACTGTATTGCGCCTTATTTCACTTCAAATGACACCCAAGATCAGCTCTACAACTCCAGTGAACACTAACTGACCAGTGCCTTCGATTTCTTACAAAGAGAAAGCAAGGCGGATGGCAGCTTGAATAATGATCGGTGGAAGTGCCGGGCATTCTGTGGAGGGCCGACCTCGCGAAGCCAGAATTGCTTGTGTTTTGCGGGCTTTAACTCTGGCATTTCTGAACAGAGCAGATCAAGCCATGCAGAGTGGTATCGAGAAGGTGGGCTGGAACAGATCATACAAGAGCGGCGGAATTTTCTAGAAGGTATCTCCACCAGATCTGAACAGGACTTCTTGAGCTGTGTAGAGTTATGGTATTGAAGAGGTGTGGCTGACGGTTTGGAATTTGTGCACGGTGCTCAACTCCAAAACTCCTCATGTACGACATGGTCTCGCCAGTTTTTTCTTTGCGCAGAGACCCATTTGCAACATTCTTTGCCTCTGCCTTTGCTTCTGATTGCATTTGCTGTTGCCTGCTAAACCAGTGGTTGCGTTCCCTCAAAAGACCGAACTACACTTATTTTCGCTGTTCTCGGAGATTGCACCTCTGCTTCAATTTCTTTTTGCTCTCTGAGTCAGTTCCATCGTCAAATCGGATCTTTTTTGCTTCATGGTTGCGTGTGTCTTTGCGCAGGATGGTTGCATCCGCTGTCACAAACCGACAAAAAAAAGATCGCTCGCAGCAGGCGCTCCAACCGACTTTGTTGCTCAGCAAATCCACATCTCTGCGCAACACAGACCCGTGCCGCTGCCGCCCCCGCAACATAGGTTTTTCGGTCTGCCTCAAATGGAACAACTGCTTTTGAATCAGGTTAGTGACCGCACTCGTTTTGTTTCGTTTCGTGTGTTTCTTGTTAGTGGACTTCTGAGAGCTGTGAAGCGCTACGGCCTTGCCTGTGCAAGTTTGGAGTTGAGAGTTCTCCCAGAAGGTACCTGTGCCTGAGAAAGCATCGACATTGACCTGTTTGGACCAGATCCTGTTTGTCCCATGAGTCCGCCTGCAGCTCCAAGGTGGAAGTGTTCTGGCTGCTGTGTCTGGAACGTGTTCGGCCACCAGTGCCGCCGACGTCCACTTTCGGTGCGGACCAACTGCAGCACACGCGGCTGGAAATGTGGGGTCGAACAAGCTTAGCAATTTTGGCTTCGCTTGAGTGGCCCCTCTCTGTTCTTTCATGTCTATCACTTCCACAGGCAAGGTGTCTGTTGGAAATTCTTGTTCGATTTTTCCACACTGGATGCCTGCCTGTGGGCGAGTCGCCTTGATGTAGCAGTGTGGAACGCACGGGCTTGGGCTTGGGCCCCAAAATGAGGAATTCGCGACCCCAAAATAGAGGCCGCCAAGCGGCTCCGATTTTGGGGTCCTCTGGTTGCCAGTCAAAATATGTTGAAGGAGGTTGGCTGCATTTCGCGGCTCCTTTTCTGGGGCCGCGAGACGGCCCCAGTTTGGGGGTCGCAAGTTTGATTCCTGCACCCACAGCGGCTGAATCTCGTCAGCTGCGCATGTCATTGATTGTATTGACTTTGGGGAGCGTCTGGTGGAGGACCGTTTGGAAGGTCGGAACTTGTCCAAAGCAGCTGTGTTGCTCGCCCTTAATAGTGCTGCAGCCAGCGGAATGCAACTGTGGAGGGCCGACCTCGCGAAGCCAGAATTGCTTGTGTTTTGCGGGCCTTAAAATGGGGTCGCCCGACAGCCCCATAACTGTGCAGCTTTGAGATCGTACAAAGACAGAGAATTTTTGCCAGAGGTGACTCTAGCATTTCTGAACAGAGCAGATCAAGCCATGCAGAGTTATGGTATCGAGAAGGTGGGCCGGAACAGATCATACAAGAGCGGCGGAATTTTCTGGAAGGTATCTCCACCAGATCTGAACAGGACTTCTTGAGCTGTGTAGAGTTATGGTATCGAGAGGTGTGGCTGACGGTTCGGAATTTGTGCACGGTGCTTAACTCCAAAACCCCTCATGCACGACATGGGCTCACCTGGCTCTCGCCAGATTTTTTTTGCTCTTTTAGCAGAGACCCATTTGCAACATTCTTTGCCTCTGCCTTGCTTCTGATTGCATTTGCTGTTGCTAGACCAGTGGTTGCGTTCCCTCAAAAGACCGAACTGCACTTTTCGCTGTTCTCGGAGATTGCACCTCTGCTTCAATTTCTTTTTGCTCTCTGAGTCAGTTCCATCGTCAAATCGGGTCTTTTTTGCTTCATGGTTGCGTGTGTCTTTGCGCAGGATGGTTGCATCCGCTGTCACAAACCGACAAAAAAAAGATCGCTCGCAGCAGGCGCTCCAACCGACTTTGTTGCTCAGCAAATCCACATCTCTGCGCAACACAGACCCGTGCCGCTGCCGCCCCCGCAACACAGGTTTTTCGGTCTGCCTCAAATGGAAGAACTGCTTTTGAATCAGGTTAGTGACCGCACTCGTTTTGTCTCGTTTCGTTTTGCTTCGAATGTTTTTAGCTCAAGAAAAAGATCGAGTGCTGCGCACTCTGTTTTTCTTGTTAGTGGACTTCTGAGAGCTGTGAAGCGCCACGGCCTCGCCTGTGCAAGGTTGGAGTTGAGAGTTCTCCCAGAAGGTACCTGTGCCTGAGAAAGCATCGACATTGACCTGTTTGGACCAGATCCTGTTTGTCCCATGAGTCCGCCTGCAGCTCAAAGGTGGAAGTGTTCTGGCTGCTGTGTCTGGAACGTGTTCGGCCACCAGTGCCGCCGACGTCCACTTTCGGTGCGGACCAACTGCAGCACACGCGGCTCCAAATGTGGGGTCGAACAAGCTTAGCAATTTTGGCTTCGCTTGAGTGGCCCCTCTCTGTTCTTCTTATCCGCGCATGGTGTTGCTGGACCGTGTAGAGATGCTGCTCATGCGGCCATTGCGGAACTTGTTGCAGGTCTGAGCCGGAGCTACTGAACCACTTCTCAAAGCGTGTATGTTCTAGCAACGTTTTGCGGATTTCAAAACATTGAAAAAGATTTCTTATCTTCTGATTTTGCTTAGCTTCTTCCAAAAACCGAGTGCGGCCGTTCACGCCAAAAAAGCAGTGTGATCTGTCAAGGAAGCAACATCGTCAATATTGCGATGGTTTGAGTTTCAGACTTAACGTGATGGATCTGAATGAACGGAGATTTCCACTTGCAGAGCTCCGTGGAATTGCCTAGCAAGACTCGAACGGCGGCTGGAGTTTCGTGTTTTGGGCTTCTGCCTGACAGTCAGTGCTGACTGAGTCCACACACCGCAGATATGAGCATTTTCGCTTGTGTTTCATCTTGTTTGAAAGTGTGTTTGTGTTGTCCTGCTGTGCATGCGATGACTTGCATTCTTGAAGGTTTTCCATGCATGATTTTCGTCCCGGAGCGGAGCGTAGGGATAAATCTTTATTTCCTTTGAACAATCAACGGTTTTTCTCTGAAAACCGAGTGCACCAGTTTTCCAACTTTGTTTCCTTTGAGTCTTGCGAATACCTTGTCGTATCCGCATTTCTTCTCAAGGGAAGGGTGGGAGGGAAGTCCATTTCCTTCGGCATGAAGTGAATCAACTTTGTGCTGGGGGGGTGGCGTAGTGCGTGCCGGTGGGTAGTTCTTAGGGGAGGGAAAACCCGTCCTGTGACGGGTGCCATGGATCAGCCTGGCTCTCTTGAGGACTTAGAAACTGCCGGTAGTGCCTTCAGGCTTCTGTCAGAGGCCCCAGACGCGAGTGTGTGTTCTGTCGACGCAGAGCAAACTTTGCAAGATGATCTTGTCCCCTGGAACCCGAATCCTGATTTCTCAAGCGACAGGGAGTGCATCAGCTCACATCGGGAGCCATCCGAGCTTGCAGTAGAGTCAGAGCTTGCTGATGCCTTCTTTGAAGGTGGTATTGGCTTGAGTTCTGAATCGGTGCCCGTGCTTCCTGCGGTACTCAGTGGCATCGAGCATAACCCGCAAGGTTATAGGAACCTCTTGCGCTCGTCGCACCTTGGCCTTCGTGATGAGCTTCCGAAGTTTCCTTGGGATGAAGGATTTTGGAGCGACTTCTTCAAGCCTGTTGTGACGACTGACGACCTCTTGTCTTTTCCCAGGTTTGATAGGTTAAGCCCTCCGGTGGAGTTCCTGCAAGAGGCTTTAGAGGCGGATGAGCTGCCTGGGCCTAAACGCGCTCGCAAAGCTGTTACAGTCACCTTCGAGCGAGTTGTGTTAAATCGTGCCGTGATCTCCTGGAGAGATCAGCGAGAAGCCGACTTGAGCAGAGCGCTTATCAAGTGGTGTAGAGTTTTTGCAAGCTGGGACAGTGAATCTTCCCCTGTCACCCGTCAGCTTCAGGAAGCCGCCTCGCCTGAGGCCTGTCATGACCTCCTGGGAGATTATTTGGCCCGCAAAGCTCCCAGTACATGTCTCAAGCGTGCAAATAGCATGTTGATGTTGGGCAAGTCTGTAGCTTCCGAAGGCTTGACAATGCCCATGCAGGAGCCTTCTCTTTACTCGATTTTGAGAGATTGCAAAACCGGTGGTGCATCCTTGTCAGCTTTGCGAGGCATCATGGAGGCGATCACTTTCGTGCACTTTACATTTGACATTTCGACTTTGCATGCCAGTGTCAAGAGTGAAGTCGGAGGCGTGCACTTCCCATGCGGGAGGTGAAGTCATGAGTGTCAAATCGGACGGAACAGAACCTCCGAGTCCCGATTTTTCTGAGGGTGTTGGCGACCTGAGCCTCATGCCTGATCGAGCGCCGCAGGGATCTTTTGAGATAGTTCCGGAAGACATCTCCGAAGTCAATCCCGATGACGGTGTCTCCTCTGACGGAGACACGTCGTCGGAAGGCTCATCATCCGAGTCGTCTGATTCTTCTGAGGGAGAAAATCCGGGGCCCAGGCTGATGCCCCCGCCTTCGCCTCCTGAAGGTACCTTCTTCATGCAGCATCGCAAGCTCAAAACTCTGCATTTGTTGTTGACCGGGCACCGCAGCTTCACGCTGTGCGGAAGACCGTTGCAAACTGGCGACAGCCCCTTCATCGAGCCTGGCCGGCTGAGGTACGATACCCCAGTGTGCAAGCAGTGCAAGAGATCCCTAGCTAACCCTGGGCGCGACTGAGTTTTGCTGAGGGAGTGGAAAGAGAGAGTGTGTGCGTGTCATGGTAGAGGGTTTCATGTCGAGTCGTGAGCCAAAATCATCAGGACAGGCAGCTGCCCCTCGATGTGCCGCAACTCGTCCCTTCTGCTCGCTTCTTCCCTCTCTCTCTTCTCCCTCTCTCTCTGTTCTTGATCCTTCTCTCTCAACATGTGAGTTTGCTTGATGGATCACACGCTGAGAGTTGGGTGCAGCAGCTTTGTCTCGATTCATTAGGACGGACAGGCCCATAGTGCTGTGAGTTGCCATGACCCTCGTTGACAGCGAGGCTGCTTTTGCAGCTAGGTGTAAGGAGATATGTGGCGACGATTCTCTTCACACATTGCTGCAAGCCTCGGGGGTGCAAACTCACTCAGCCTTGGCCTTCAGTTGTGGAACCCCGAAGGCCCAACCCACGGAAGCAGAATTTAAGGCTTTTGCTGATTCCGTTGTCGGGAGCCCAGCGTCCATAGGCCGCGTGAGCCAGCTCAAAAGACTTCATTTCGAATCCTCGACTTTGGTCATTGCCCAGTTGCGCGCACTCGTAGAAGGGGATTCAACAGATGCTGGAAAAAGACTTCCGGCAGCGGAGAAATCCGCCCGACTTGCGGATGCCAAGAGGCGTTTGAAAGGCCTTGTCATCGAGGATGAGATGGAGCCTAGTCATGCCCTCATTGATGCAGTTTCCCACATGGGCGAGTCGAATGCGGTGGTTTGGATCCCACCGTCGAAGTGCACTAAGAGGGATGCCGAACTCAAGCTAGGGCTTCGCGACAAGCAAAAGTACTTGACTGTTCAGGAGCAATCAGTCACCTTGGCCCCGGCTCCAGATAAAATCGTCGCTGAGCATGGGACTCCCTTGGAGGTCCAATGGTGTCTCCAGCGCCGAGGCTTGGCTTTCTTCATGTGCGGCTTCATGGAGTGGGAGACTCACGAGAAGTGGGTCGCGTCTCTGCTTAGATGTTTGTCATCGGATGTTCCTCCGGGGTACGCACCCATTTCGATGCAGCAAATTTTGCGAGCAGATTCCGAAATCTTCTTGCTTTTAGCCCGTGAGGTCAAGCGTGTCAAACCTGACAGCAGTGGTGTGATGGAGATGGATGTTCTTATGAATCGGTTCCGTCATGACCCTCGGGTCACCACCTATCTCCAGCCACTTCAGCGTGGATCAGCCTCTCAGGGAGTCGCTTCGCCGAGTCTCGCAGGTGAGGTCGGATCATCCTTTCCTGATCTGAGGCCCAGCAAACGCCAAAAGAAGAGAGATGCTAAGCTCAAGGCCCCCATCAAAACTGCAAATCTGCCTGAGGAGTTGAAGTCATGCCCGTACCATGCTGATTCTTCAGGCAACCGGTTCTGTTGGCAGTTCAATCTCGGTAAGTGCAATGCCGAGTGCAAGGGCAGTCCGCCTGCTTGCAGCCGTGGTGTTCACGGTTGCATGACGTGCAGGCGCTTAGGCCATGGGCATTCTGCTTGCTGGTTTGCCCAAGCAGGCAAAGGCAAAGGCAAGAAAGGCAAGGGAAAGGGCGACAAGAGTGATTCGTCTTCCCCTAAGGAGTGACTAGCTCCTATCAGTGTTGCACCCTCTTCTGAGGGGCCCAGGCTGCGATCTCGCAGCCCTAATCCTGCATGTGAATTCCGTGTGTCAGGGCAGCACCCCAAGCCTGTCGGCCAAGATGAGGCCGAAAGTGTCACCAAACCTTTCATAAATGTTCACGATGATTCCGAACGTGACTCTGTGCTTTCTCCTCCTGAAGCCGATGTCAACGCGGCATGTTCCGCGTTCAATTTCAGCTTCGCTGCGTTCATGGGGAGCACATCCAGTGTTCCAGGTGATCCTTGTGAGTCACTTGCTTCAAAAATTCTTGAGCATGGCAACTGCTCATCTGAGCAACTGCTTGAACTCTCGAACATGCTACCAAGCGAGACTCCAACTCGAAGTGATGGAGCCGCCCCGTCAGGACGTGCCTTCACGACGGGAGCATACTACCACTGTGGCACTGTAGGTGTCAGGCATAATGCGCGAGCTTACCCTCTGGCCTCGCGTCTCCTTGCCACTCTCGCCGCCAGTGTATTCTCGAACTTTCATTTCACAAGTGTCGGCCTTTTCAAAGATGTAAAAACTCGCAGGCACCGTGACCTCAGGAATCTTCCTGGGTCCTTGAATGGCGTTGCACCTCTTCGCCCATTCTGCGGTGGTGCAGTGAGGCTGCATCACCCTAGTGGTCCTGAGGACTTGCTGGTCTCAGCAGGGCCCGTCACGTTTGATGCGACGGTAGAGCATGAAACTTTAGACTGGACCAACGGTCCCCGTCTTGTACTTGTGGCTTTCAGTGTGTATGGAATTTCCAAAATTCCAGTTTCAGATGAGAGCTGTTTGAGGTCCCTGGGTTTTGCGCTCCCAGGTGTTACCGATGCACCTGCCTCGGTTCCTGCACTCAGCCATACGACCACAGCTGCTTCTGATACTGTCTCTGGAGTCATTATAGATGTATTCGCTGGCGATGCCGCCTTTTGCAAAGCCGCGCACAAAGCCGGCTTTAGAGCCCTAGCCTTCGACCTTAAGCCTCAGCGTGCCCAATTCCCAATTCAACCTCTCGACATAACGCAGGCCGATGAGCTTGCGGTGCTCCTGGAGGTGATTTCCGAGCACGCAGGTGCTACGTCATTGGTGCAGTTCACTGTCCCGTGCTTGAGTACCTTCTTCACGTCAAAGACTGGATCATGGAGTTTCGCCGAGTTGCTGGTGGATGCTGTCTTTCAGCTTTGCTCGCATTGCAGGGCAGTGGGAGTTCCTTTTGCGATTCTGCACCCTGCTACGTCGCGCTTCTGGCACATGCCGTCTTGCCAACACTTCTTCCAAACTGCAGACGGTGAATGGACTACATTTGACCAATGCATGCATGGAGGGGCCCAGGATCGCCGCGCTTTCTGGTGGGCCTCAACTGCTTTGTTGCGCCCTTTACAGGCAACCTGCTCCAAGGACCACAAGCATTATAGTCAAGCTGCTTCGGCCCCGCAGTGGCCTCATTTGCTTTGGGATCGTGCTGTAGAGTTACTGTGCCAGCACTCAGGCTTCACGCCAACTACATCATCTTTGTTTGGTCCTCCGGGTCGTGACCTACGGCCTGCTATGGGCAAACAATCTCGTAAAGCCCGGCCATTGGTCAGCGAATTCTGCAAATATGATGCTTGGGCAGTGCCTCTTCGTGCCGAGCAACCTGTGCTCCAGCTCCTGAGATGCTACCCTAAAGGAGCCCGCGCAGTAAGACGCAAACTTGTTGATCCGGGGTTGGTTCGGGTTTGCGTTTTACCTTCTGTTGACTTGTGCAAGGTCGATGATGTCTTGTCGAGCCCCTGGACATGGTCCACTAAGCATTGCAAGCACGATGCGCACACACCAACAAAGGATTTCTCTGATGTCTGCGGCTTATTGCCTCCGACTGAGCATTCTCCAGTGCTTGAAGTTGTATGGATTGGCATTCCCCGTGAACCGGATGACTTTTTACGTCGAGCTGTGGCAGCCGGTCACCCAAAATCCCTTCTTGATGTCGAAGCCGATCCGCACATGACCTTGCTGATAGACAACCTTCTGAACAGTAATGTCAAACAGCCAGACAAAGGTTTGCATGAAGTTCAGCGTTGGACCGAGCTACGGTCGGACCTCTCCGAATCCCAGGATGTGTGCAAAAAGGAGTGGCCCATCCATGTGGCGCAGGTTCTGGATGCAAAGCCAACTCTGTTGATGGACGAATTGCTCACCCAGCACGACTTTCCAGATCGCCACCTTGTGAAGCACATGACGCAGGGGTTTAGGCTTACGGGCTGGGTTTGTAGATCGGGTCTTTTTCCCTTTGACCCTAAGCCTCCCGCCTCCACCTTAAAAAGTCAGCTCTCCATGGCCAAGTCCAGAAACACCGCCACCTTGACGAAGCTCTCCAAACAGGCTCCTGATGAGGTGTCTCGTCGTGCCTGGGCTGAAACGCTTGAAGAAGTTGACAAAGGTTGGATTGAGGAAGACGAAAACCCAGATCTTTCTACGGTCCTTGTTGCCAAGCGGTTTGGGCTTTTACAAGGTCCAAAGGTCAGAGTCATAGACGACTGCCGTGCTTGTGCTTACAACTTGTTAGCAGGCATCCCTGAGAAATACAGATTACAGAGCGTCGAATACATCGCTGCCTTCCTCTTGCGAGCCATGCTTGACCCTCGCAGCAAAGGCGTTAGCATCTCAGGGAAGACACTTGATCTGACTGCGGCGTACAAACAGTACGCCACACATCCCTTCGATCGTGACCTTTTAAGGATTGGCGTTAAAGACACTGCAAGCGGACGCGTTCGCACTTTCAAAGTGAATTCCTTGCCTTTCGGAGCGACGGGTAGTGTGTCAAGCTTTCTCCGATGTGCAGCTGCGATCTGGTTCTTGGGATCCCACGCATTGGGAATCCCATGGACCAACTATTTTGACGATTTCCCGATCTTCTCCAAAGATTCCGACTGCGACCTAGTGGAAGAAGTAGCCACCAGTTTTCTCGACCTTCTGCACTTGTACTTTGCACGCGCTGGCAAGAAAGCCACTGTGTTTGCAAAGGCTTTCAAAGCGCTCGGCCTTATCATCGATTTGAGCCATTTCGGCGAAGGATATGTGACCATCGGTCATACTCAAGAACGTGGGGATGAGCTGCGTGCGACAATCACCCGCATTCTTGAGTCCAACCGCCTTTCGCACGCTGAAGCCGAAAGCTTGCGAGGCAGGCTCCACTGGTACACTTCCTTTCTTTTTGGACGCAGATCTTCTCAAGCTTTGAACGTCCTGAGCGACTGGGTAAATCGAAGTGCATCAAAAGGCACTCTGCCTACGGAACTCCGAGAGTCCCTCATGTTCCTCAGGGACGTAGCTCTCCATTCTGAGCCGCTGAAAATTTCGAGGAGTTTGCAGCGAACTTTCTTGATTTTTACTGACGGCAGCCTGGAGGGAAACTTTGCTTGTGTGGGAGGCATTCTGCACGATAGTCAAGGCGTGCCCCTAGCCTTTTTCTCGGTCAAGCTGAACCAAGCCTCTACTGAGAGACTCCACCATCACTCTTCGCATCCCATATATGAGATTGAGTTGCTAGCTGTGTGGACAGCACTCACCCTTTGGGAGAGGCATATCCATGACAGCTACTCTGTCTTTTACTTAGACAACGAAGCAGCTCGCGGAGCTTTGACGTCAGCCAGATCTTCTACTTTGACAGGTACGAAAATCGTCGAGTCTTTCCTGAGACTGGAAGATCGATCGTTATGCAGGCCGTGGTTTGGTCGTGTGCCAACCCACTCAAATTGCGCAGACGATCCGAGTCGTGACTCCTTCCAACATCTCATAAGGCAAGGGGTCCGCAGAGACTCTCTGCTTTGCGATTGGCCCTTTTGAGCTGCTGCTCTCTGGGGCTCCTTGGGGGCAGCTCGTTATGCCAAACGGCATCCAGCATGGTTGCTCTCGAACGACGTTACCCCTTTGCCCTTTTTGAGTAAAACGAAGAGTCCGACTCGGTTAGCGCAAGTTTACGGGCTCCGCCCTTTACGCTCGGGTGTTCCCCGCCTTAGTGCACGTTTGAGGAAAGAAATAAGATTTTCGTCCCGGAGCGGAGCGTAGGGATAAATCTTTATTTCCTTTGAACAATCAACGGTTTTTCTCTGAAAACCGAGTGCACCAGTTTTCCAACTTTGTTTCCTTTGAGTCTTGCGAATACCTTGTCGTATCCGCATTTCTTCTCAAGGGAAGGGTGGGAGGGAAGTCCATTTCCTTCGGCATGAAGTGAATCAACTTTGTCCCGCCCGCCCTCACCTTTTTATTCAACCATTGCTGAGCCACTCCCTTGGCCCTCCTTGGGGGCAGCTCGTTATGCCAAACGGCATCCAGCATGGTTGCTCTCGAACGACGTTACCCCTTTGCCCTTTTTGAGTAAAACGAAGAGTCCGACTCGGTTAGCGCAAGTTTACGGGCTCCGCCCTTTACGCTCGGGTGTTCCCCGCCTTAGTGCACGTTTGAGGAAAGAAATAAATTTTTCTTATTTTTCGCTTTCTTCTTTTTGCATGATGCAGAAGGCCGGAAGGGTAGAGCGGCGATTCCGGCCAACGAAGACTCGCCACTCAACACGTGCAAACGTACCTGCTCTACAAGATCCTCCTGATGCTCTGAGGCCAGGCGCGGCAGGTGGAGGTTAAGAGGTCCTCTCTTTTTTGTCTGATTTGCAACATGTACGTCACCTACAGAGGACAGGCGGGTCAGTGGAAGCCTTTCCAGTTGTGTTCGACAAGAGCTCCCTCATGAGGGCCTTGTCGCTTTTTCGGCGAAGCCGGCCCACCGGGGTGCTTGTGTTAGCAGGATCGGAGTCACATCCCGTTTCACAACATGTTCAAGGGGAAATCACTGTGCGGAGATCAGCCTTTTGGAAATCACAGTGGAGATCATAGTGGAGATCATAGTGGAGATCACTTGTACAAAGCTGCCATGGATCGTGAACGATGTTTCCTTTCTGTCGTCTTGCCTGTAGGCAGTCCACGTAATTCCGAGGCTCTAGTGTCCCCATGTTGAGGTTTCCCTATCAGTCGAACCTTGATTTGTGGACGTTATACAGATGAAGATCTATTCCACCACAAGAACAGACAGTGGTGGAACGGTCTGTGGACCAGCGTTATTATTTATTGAAGCGTCCAACTCAGTCGCGGAGGCAAGGCCCAGTAAGTTGATTCCACACCGACGGTACAGCGTTCATGCTCAACGGGGGTCCGCTCCAGGTTGAAGCGCTGTAGGCAAGGCCCAGTGCGTCGATTCCACAACGACGCCGAGACTATCTCAGACGCCAGTTTGGTGGTGCAAGTGATGTGCAATGGACGTGCAAGTGATGTGCAAGGGAGGTGCAAGTGACGTGCAAGTGACGTGCAGCTTATACGGCCGAGGCTTAGTGTCCCCAGGTTGATGTTTCCTTTCTGTTGTCTTGCCTGTAGGCAGTCCACGTAATTCCGAGGCTCTAGTGTCCCCATGTTGAGGTTTCCCTATCAGTCGAACCTTGAACGCTGGTCGCTGGTATTATTTGAGGCCTTAGTGCAGTCTTCCTTTTCGCCTGATTCTTTTTCTTTCGTTCATTGTTTTCTTGCGTCCATCTGTAGTTGTTTCACTTTCTCCGTCACTTCATCGGGCCTGTCTCTTCAACGTCTCCCTGTTCGCTGTCATCTATTCACCTGACGGATATTATTTGAGGCCTTAGTGCACGGATTGGGAAGATCATATTTGAGACCAGTCAGGGACGCTGGTCGCTGGTAGTATTATTTGAGGCCTTGGTGCACGGACGGCGACAGATGCGAAGATCATATTTGAGACCAGTCAGGAACGCTGGTCGCTGATATTATTTGAGGCCTTAGTGCACGGACGGCGACAGATGCGAAGATCATGTTTGGGACCAGTCAGGAACGCTGGTCGCTGGTGTTATTTGAGGCCTTAGTGCAGTCTTCATTTTCGCCGGGTTCTTCTTCTTTCGTTCATTGTTTTCTTGCGTCCATCTGTAGTTGTTTCACTTTCTCCGTCACCTCATCGGGCCTGTCTCTTCAACGTCTCCCTGTTCGCTGTCATCTTTTCACCTGACGGACGGCGACAGATGCGAAGATCAAATTTGAGACCAGTCAGGGACGCTGGTCGCTGGTATTATTTGAGGCCTTGGTGCACGGACGGCGACTGATGCGAAGAACATGTTTGAATGCTGGTCGCTGGTATTATTATTAGTTGAGGCCTTCGTGCAGTTTTCATTTTCGCCTGGTTCTTCTTCTTTCGGTCATTGTCTTCTTGCGTCCATCTGTAGTTGTTTCACTTTCTCCGTCACCTCATCGGGCCTGTCTCTGCAACGTCTCCCTGTTCGCTGTCATCTATTCACGTGACGGACGGCGACAGATGCGAAGATCATATTTGAGACCAGTCGACTGTTGCCATACCACATCCCAACGACCGCGCTTGTTGCCAGACAGAGTGCTGTCATGTGCATGCATGAAGTTGCAAGAGTGCTTTTTATGGCAGATGTTGGTCCAAGCTAGAGTGTATGATTCACGCTCTATTGCAGGCTTGAACCTGGCTCGTTGGGTTAAGAAGACTGAATGGTCGGTTCGAAAGCAGATTGACGGATGCCCGACACACATGGTACCGCTCCATTCATTGCTTTATCAAGGTTGGTTGGAATTCATATTGGATTCGTCATATTGCTGAAGAACAGCTGAGCCGAAAAGTAATCTTGTGCAGGCCTTCCAGAAAGGCAAACCATCGGGGAGCCAGGCAGAACCGTTGAGTATTGATCTCAATGTGTGTCGCACTGTTCAGCCATTGCAAAGTAAAGGTGTGAGCGGGACTTGACACGTCAATGCGACAAGGGAATAAATGCACTTTGACATGCGATCTTAGGAACGTCTTGTGAGTGCTATGATCATAGATTGCTGCAGGAAGTGACGATTCAAGACTGCACTTTTTGCCCCCTTGGGGGCCTGTTTGTGTTATCCTGCTGTACACGCGATGACTTGCATTCTTGAAGGTTTTTCATGCATATTTTTCTTATTTTCGCTTTCTCCTTTTTGCATGATGCAGGGGGCCGGGAGGGTAGAGCGGCGATCCCGGCCAACGAAGACTCGCCACTCAACCCGTGCAAACGTACCTGCTCTACGGGCTCCTCCTGATGCTCTTGGGCCCGGCGCGGCAGCTGGGGGTCAAGAGGATGCCCATTAAGTGGATTTCTTTTACCTGACTTGCAACATGTACGTCACCTACAGAGGACAGGCGGGTCAGTGGAAGCCTTTCCAGTTGTGTTCGACAAGAGCTCCCTCATGAGGGCCTTGTCGCTTTTCGGCGAAGTTGCCGGCCCACCGGGGTGCTTGTGTTAGCAGGATCGGAGATCACATCCCGTTTCACAACATGTTCAAGGGGAAATCACTGTGCGGAGATCAGCCTTTTGGAAATCACAGTGGAGATCATAGTGGAGATCATAGTGGAGATCACTTGTACAAAGCTGCCATGGATCGTGAACGATGTTTCCTTTCTGTCGTCTTGCCTGTAGGCAGTCCACGTAATTCCGAGGCTCTAGTGTCCCCATGTTGAGGTTTCCCTATCAGTCGAACCTTGATTTGTGGACGTTATACAGATGAAGATCTATTCCACCACAAGAACAGACAGTGGTGGAACGGTCTGTGGACCAGCGTTATTATTTATTGAAGCGTCCAAATCAGTCGCGGAGGCAAGGCCCAGTGAGTTGATTCCACACCGACGGTGCAGCGATCTAGTCCGCTACGGCATCCAGGCAATTCTAAAAACAACTGTGGTCGAAGTTTGCAGTTCTGTACGTGCAAGTGATGTGCAATGGACGTGCAAGTGATGTGCAAGGGAGGTGCAAGTGACGTGCAAGTGACGTGCAGCTTATACGGCCGAGGCTTAGTGTCCCCAGGTTGATGTTTCCTTTCTGTTGTCTTGCCTGTAGGCAGTCCACGTAATTCCGAGGCTCTAGTGTCCCCATGTTGAGGTTTCCCTATCAGTCGAACCTTGAACGCTGGTCGCTGGTATTATTTGAGGCCTTAGTGCAGTCTTCATTTTCGCCTGATTCTTCTTCTTTCGTTCATTGTTTTCTTGCGTCCATCTGTAGTTGTTTCACTTTCTCCGTCACCTCATCGGGCCTGTCTCTTCAACGTCTCCCTGTTCGCTGTCATCTATTCACGTGACGGATATTATTTGAGGCCTTAGTGCACGGACGGCGACAGATGCGAAGATCATGTTTGGGAAGATCATATTTGAGACCAGTCAGGGACGCTGGTCGCTGGTAGTATTATTTGAGGCCTTGGTGCACGGACGGCGACAGATGCGAAGATCATATTTGAGACCAGTCAGGAACGCTGGTCGCTGATATTATTTGAGGCCTTAGTGCACGGACGGCGACAGATGCGAAGATCATGTTTGGGACCAGTCAGGAACGCTGGTCGCTGGTGTTATTTGAGGCCTTAGTGCAGTCTTCATTTTCGCCGGGTTCTTCTTCTTTCGTTCATTGTTTTCTTGCGTCCATCTGTAGTTGTTTCGCTTTCTCCGTCACCTCATCGGGCCTGTCTCTTCAACGTCTCCCTGTTCGCTGTCATCTTTTCACCTGACGGACGGCGAC